ACATCATGATGGCAGACGAGGTGGTGTCTTAGGGTGTGACATCACTATGGGCAGAACAGGTGGTAAGCTGGGTGTTGACATCACTGATTGAGACAGGTGAGTAGCTAGGTGTGACGTCACGATGCCGACAGGTTCGTAGCTGAGGTATGGACATCTACTGATTGCTAGACAGTGTGGGTAGCTAGGAGTGACATCAACTGATGAGATCAGGTGAAATAGCTAAGGGTTGTGACATCACTGATGGCAGACAGTGGGAGCTAGAAGGTGACATCACTGATGCAGACAGGTGAGTAGCTAGGGTGTGACATCACTGATGCAGACAGGATCGGATCAGCTAAGGAGTGACTCAACTGATTGAGACAGGTTGAATAGCTAGGTAGGTGACTCACTGATTTGCAGACAGGTGGGTAGCTAGGATGTGATCATCACTGATGCAGACAGGTGAAGTAGCTAGGAATTGGTGACCAGCACTGAGCAGGACAGGTGTAGTAGCTAGGATGTACATCACTGATTAAGACAGGTGATAGTAAGATGTGACATCAGTGATGGGCAGACAGGTGAGTAGCTTAGGATGTGAATCACTGATGCCAGAACAGGTGAGTAGCTAGGATTGATGACAGACTGGATGCAACAGGTGAGTTAGCTAGGGTGTGAATGCCACTGTAGGTCTTAGACAGGTAGGGACTAGGAGTGACATCACTCGCTTGAGAACAGTGAATAGCTAGGGTTGACATTACTGGATGCAGACGGTGGGTAGCTAGGATGTGAGCATCACTGATGCGACAGGTGAGACGCTAAGATGTGACAATACTTGATGAGGACAGGTGAGTAGCTAGGATGGTACTATCAGTGGATGTAGACAGGTGATACTGGGTGTGACATCACTGATTGAGACATGGTGGTAGCTAGGGTGACATCAGTGAGGCAGGACAGGTGGGTAGCTAGGGTGTGACATAAGCTGATGCAGACAGGTGAGTAGCTAGATGTGAACATCACTGATGGCAGACAGGGGTAGCTAGATGTGACATCACGATGAGACAGTGAGTAGCTGGGTGTGAGCATCCTGATGCAAGACAGGTGGGTAGTAGTGAATGTGTACATCACTGAATGCAGACGGTGAGTAGCTACGGATGTTGACATCACTGATGCAGACAGGTGGGTAGCTAGGATTTACATCAACTGATGCATGGACAGGTAATATAGGATGTACATCACTGATGGTCAGACAGGTGGGTCAGCATGGTGTGACAATCACTGATGGCAGACAGTGAATATGCTATGAATGTGACGTCTTGATGGGCAGACAGGTGTTAGCTAGGATGTACCATAACTGAGCAGACAGGTGAAATACTAGCTGTAGCATCACTGATGCAGACAGGTGGGTAGCTAGGTGTGTGACATCAACTGATGCAGACAGGTGGTAGCTAGGTGTGTGACATAACTTTGAATGGCAGACAGGTGGGGTAGCTAGGGTGTGACTCACTGATTGCAGAAAGGGTGATAGCAGCGTGTGACATAACTGAGCAGGCAGGGAGGTGCTAGGGTTGACATCATGCGATGCAGAAAAGGGTTGAGTAGCTAGGGTGTGACCTCACTGATGCAGGCAGAGTGAGTAGCTAGGTGTGACATCACTGATTGTAGACAGGTGACGTAGCTAGTGGTGGACATCACTGATGCAGACAGGTGAGTAGCTAGGGTGTGACATAGCGATGCAGCAGTGAGTAGCAGGTGTTGAAGGTCTCCTGATGCAGGTGCAGGTAGAGTAGCAGTGTGACATCATCTGATAGCAGGCAGGTGAGTAGGCTAGGGTGTGACATCACTGATTGAGACAGGTAGTAGGCTTTAGGTGTGACATCACTGATGCAACATGTGAGTAGCTGGGAGATGACATGCTTAGTGATTGAGACGGTGGGTAGCTAGGATGTGACAGGACTGATGAGACAGTGGTCGGTTAGTAGGATTGACATCACGATGGCAGAAGGGGTGGTTAGCTAGGATGGACATCACTGATGCAGACAGGTGAGTAGGCTAGATTTGACATCACTGATTTGAGACAGGTGAGTAGCTAGGGGTGACATCACGATGCAGACAGGATGGTTAGCCTAGGATGGTGACATAGCTGATGCAGACAGGTGGGTAGCTAGGGTGTGACATCAACTGACAGACAGTGGTACAGGATGTAATCACGATGCAGACAGGTGAGGTAGCTAGGTGTGACATCACTGATGCAAGACAGGTGATACTGGGTGTGACATCACTGATGCAGATCAGGTGGGGTATGGCTAGGGTGTGACATCACTGATGCAGTACAGGTGGTAGCTAGGTGTGCAGTCACTGATGCAGACCGGTTGGAGCTAGGATTTGAATTACTGACTGCTATACAGTGAGTAGCTAGGATGTGACATCACTGATGCAGACAGTGGGTAGCTAGGTGGACATCACTGATGGCAGACAGTGATGAGCTTAGGGTGGACTCACTTGATGCGAGGTGGTAGCTAGTGATGTGTACATCACTGATGGCAGACAGGTGGCTAGCAGGATGTGACATCACTGATGCAGACGGTGGTAGCTAGATGTGACGCTGATTGTAGACAGTGAGATAGCTAGGGTTGACATCACGATGCAGACAGGCTGGTAGTAGGATGTGACATCATCTGATGCAGACAGGTGGTAGCTAGGGTGTGACATCACTGATGCAGACAGTGGGTACTAGATGTGACAATCATGATGCAGAACAGGTGGGTAGCTAGGCGTGTTGACATCACTGACATGCAGAGCAGTGTGAGTAGCTAGGGTGTTGAATCACTGATGCAGACAAGGTGGTAGCTAGGTGTGGACATGCACGAGCAGGACAGTGGTATAGGATGTGACATCACGATCAGACCGGTGGGTAGGCTAGGCAGTGACATCACTGATGCAGACAGGTTAAGTAGCTTAGGATGTGACATCACTGTATGCAAGACAGGTGAGTAAGCAGATGTGACATACTGATGCGCAAGACAGTGAGTAGCTAGGATGTGACATCATGAGCCGAAGGTGGTAGCTAGGATGTGACATACTGATGCAGATGGGTGGTAGCTAGGAATGTGACATCACTGATGCAGACAGGTTGGTAGTAGGGTTTACATCACTGATGGCAGACAGGTGGGAGCTAGGATGTGACATCACTGATGCAGACAGCTGAGTTAGGCTTAGTGTGACTCACGATTGGACAGGTGGTAGCTAGGAGTGACATGCATGATCAGACGAGCTGATAGCTAGGATGTGACATACTGATGCAGACCGGAAATGAGCTAGTGTGACAATCACTGATGGCAGACCGTCGTAGCTGAGGTGTGACATCCACTGACAGACAGTCGGTAGATAGGTGTGAAATCACTGCATGGGCATGACAGTGGTCGGGTGTGACATCACTGTGCACGACAGGTGAGGTAGCTAGGGGTGACATCATGATGGCAGACAGGTTGGAGCTAGGGTGACCATCACTGATCAGACAGGTCGGTCGCTAGGATGTGACATCACTGATTTGGACAGTGGTAGCTAGGTGTGTGACATCACGGATTGAGACGTGTGGGTAGCTAGGATGTGACATCACTGATTGAGACAGGTGAATAGGCTAGGGGTGACATCACTGATGCATGCAGGAAAGGCTTAGGGCGTGGACAATCACTGATGCAGACAGGTAGTAGTCTAGGATGTGACATCACCTGATGCAGACAGGTGGGTAGCTAGATGTGACATACTGTATGAGAAGCAGTTGGAGAGGGATTTTAAGCATCACTGATGCAGACAGGTGGGTAGCTAGCGTGACATCACTGATGCAGACAGGTGGGTAGTTAGGATGTGACATCACTGATGCAGGCAGTGGAGTAGCTAGGACTAGACTGTTTCGTGTGTCGTGACTGCTTTGATGGTACACAGCACAAGTTCAAGCCACTACGCTCCCTTTCGTGAACAACTTAATCATTTATACTTGATGCAAGAGTTTTCACAGGTGCGTTCAATCGGAATGATAAATTGCCAAACTGGAGCGTGTGTTAATATTTATTTCAGTTATCTCCTGACCAGTTAATGTGAGCTTGCCCTGCTGCTGCCATGATAATGTTAAACCAGAACTGCAGAGCATATATGTCATCATTTGATGTCAACCCCTCCTGCTATAGTGGTATGACTGCTTATACTTCTGCTGCTGGTGTTGGTGCTGCTGCTGCTGCTGCTGCTAGTGTTGTTACTGCTGCTGAAGGGTTCGTTGTCGTATCAGGTACTACATATATGTATACACAAAGTGTACCAGACTTGTACTACAGAAGTGTATCCTAACCCTAACCCTAACCCTAACCCTAACCCTAAACACAGGGTACATATATGCTGAGAAGATACAGGTCTGGTATACATATACGTACCTAGGGTACATATATGTACTACCTGATACGACAACGACCCTTTCAGCGTTACTGCTACTGCTGATACTGATGCTACTTCTGCTGCTGCTACTGCTATTGCTAGTGATGTTGATACTGTTGCTGCTGCTACTACCACTGCTTCTGCTTATGTTTATGTTATGGATTTATTTCACTGGCTATGGCAAACAGAAAAGTTGTGACATATGCTCTGATTCAATAAACCCTTATAAACGCCATTGTGCTTACATTCGGTCCAAACGTTTTGGATGTGTATAGCCTGCCCTCGCATGGAAATATAAAATGCTACCCATTTAAAAAAATCTTGTATGTCTTATAAACTTGACCATTGCACTTGTGTTTAAAACTTGTTGTGTTAGTGTTTAAAAGTGGTGTACTTATGTTTGAAAATACCGCACGTGTGTTTAAAAGTGCTGTGCTCTTGTTTTAGAATGCTGCTTTTGTGTTTAAGATTAAGGCTCTTATGTTCAAGTGCCAGGTTTGTGTTTCAGAAGGCTGCTTTTATGTTTAAGAGTGCCGTGCTTCGGTTTGAGAATGTTGCTCTTATGTGTGAGAGTGCTGCTCTTGTGTTCTCGGTAGGTCAAGAGGACCTGGTGGATTTCCTGGCGGAGCATCGAGCGCACATCGTTGCCTCACTGCCCTGCTACACGGCACAGAATGTGAACATGCAACGCGGCAGCGGCGTCTTTGACAAGAGCATCCGGGCGCTGAACCTGCTGAACGCAGCCGGCTACGGCAGGGAGGGAACAGGACTGGAGATGGATCTCGTCTACAACCCTCTAGGTAAGATTATCTAGGAAGGGCTGCGATGTGGTCGCTTCAGCCTGTTCGGCTTTTGGAAAGCACTGTTCTGGTGTTTTCGGATCGGCCTGTTCTGTCTTCGGAAGGTTCAACTTGCTATACTCCCTTCGGAAGCTGGAAAAGGCATTAGAGCAGTTTTGCACTGTTCTATTCTCAGTAGAGTGTACTGTACTCTAGTTACGTGCTGTCTTGATCATATATGTGTTAAAGTGCAAGTGATACAATGTGGATTAGTCAATATACATGCATTCGTGATGCTATGTATCAGTGGTTTAATTAGTCAAATTAGTGCATAAATTATTTTGCGTACCTTGTACGACAATTAAAAGTTGGAGAGCATGCATACTGCGTATATACAAATCTTGCTGCATTTGTTCGGTAAACTGTTCGTGTTACGTCTGTTTACCAGGTGCTTACTTGCCCCCACCCCAAGCTGAACTGGAGCAAAAGTACAAGGAGGAGCTGTGGGAGACATTTGGAATTGAGTTCAATAAGTTGTTCACGATCACAAACATGCCCATCAAGCGTTTTGCTGACCATCTGTTCAGACGGTAAGAGAGGCATTTTTTGTATTCAAATTCAAAGTAATGATTTCTCATGTTTTCCTAACTGTTTTCACATTTGCAGGACCGTTCGGATACTTCTCGGTACTCTGCTTAACACCAAGTGTATACAGTGAGGCTAATATAACATGTTTTAGAACAGACACGTACATCATTATGTGTATATATTTCGTCAATATATGCACCGGTCTGCATTTCAAAATATATTTGTTTACATATGTCAAGATATTTAATAAGTAGCACATGATTCTTGCATCTCTCGAGATTTCATCGACGGTCACCCTGACTCTACACTTTGTGACTTCTGTCTAAATGTTGAGATTTCGTACCAGTCTAGAACAATTTATATCCAAGAATCATATGCACTTGTATTTGTGGCACCATTTTTGGCTCATCTGACGTAGTCAGATGCAGCTTGTAGAATCGCATGATTGTCCGTCCGTCCGTCCGTCCGTCCGTCCGTCCGTCCGTGCGTCAACAGTTGGGCACAAATCTTAACCGCTCGACGTACGGTCACGATATTCAGGACGTCGGGAGGGATCGTGAAAAGGACTCGAGATGACAAATTTGGGGGGTCAAGGGTCAAAGGTCAAGATGTGTAAACGGAGGGGGCACAAATCTTAACGGCTCGACCTATGCTCTTAATATTCGGTGTATAGTGTGATGGGCAGGAAACCCATCACCAGTGCGAAATTGGAGGTCACAGGTCAAAGGGCAGTGGGGGAAAGGTCAGATATCAGACATGGCCTAATGGACAGAGTGAAAAACTTTTTTGTTTCAGCGCTGACCTACCATTTTTATCACTTTATTGAAAGGACCATGAAATGTGCTTTCCACTGACGTGCGAAGAGTAACTGTCTGATAACCTTTTGACGCTCAAGAGGAGGGTTAAACATGGATTCCTGAACTGCCTCAATGATGTCACAGTGTTCTCATATTCATGGCACATCCATAATCTAGAAAGCCAATAAGCCTGGATAGCCCAAACGGCTACAGCACAGGATTACGGCTCAGAGGTTCTTTGATGGAATTCCATCAGATTTTTTATTATTTACCTGTTTTCTGTATTTTTAGATCTTTATCCATTTAACTATTTTTTTCCAATTAATGCAAATATTTACATGATTTATTTACAACAATTTTTTTTTTTAATAGGGTTTGGGTAAGGGTTAGGGTCACAATGCACCATAAAACATGAGTTTCAGGCACACGATTTGTATCAACCAATGGGATTTGGGAGGTATGCAGAATGCAGAAGGTTGCTGAAATGATGTGTACGCAACTGCGTATCTGCATATCTGTGCCTAACAAAGGTGTCACTACGCACGACTTAAATGTTACGTTTATAACCGTAGCAACAGACCTCAGATGAGCCCAGATGCTCTGCGGCTCTTGTTAGATATCATTTCTGAAAGTCTCAAGAATGCAAGTGCGAGGTTGTCCTTCATATGCTGTTTTATATACCATAACGGCACAAACGTGGTCATTTTTACACTAGAGTAATCAGTAATATGCCCACTGATAGGTGAGATCTAATTTGTCTACATGTTTTTATTTTCCGGTCTGTTTGAGAGATAATGTTATTGTTAATGGGGAGATTTTTTTAGAGAGAGCTGCAAATTAGTCTGCAAATAAATCTACGATAATGCCAGCAGGTTAATCACATGGATTTATTGTAAACTAACATCGCTTTGCTCTGTTCATAGGGGAGAGATGGAGGAATACATGCAGCTTCTTACCAACAACTACAACCTAAACACGATGGACAGCCTCATGTGTGTAGACACACTGAGCGTCGCGTGGAATGGCAAGATCTATGACTGCGACTTCAACCAGCAGCTAGACATGCCGCTCTTCTTACTGAGTAAGCTCCAAAGCAGTAGTGGCTCCCCCTGTCTGACGCGCGGCTGCGTCGCAGCGTGCAATCTTGTCCTGAAGCATGAAAACGGTGTCTTGTAACGTGCAGTTACATATTGTAGCGTGCAGTCGTGTCCTGTAATGTGTAATGGTGTCTTGTAACGTGCAGTCAGTCATCTCTTGTGGCATAGAACTGTGTCCTGTAGCATGCAGCCATATCCGTGGCATCTCATGGCTTATTACAACCCCTACCCTATAGAGTTTATTATCAGTTTTAATGAAATGATTAGTGGAGGGGGTATGGTACAATGCTTTGTTAAAAAATCTTCCATGCATTAACAAGTTTTGAATTGAATACCAAGAAGAGCTAATAATAGAGCTGGCGAGGTTACATTCCCAAGAAAAGCCATACAATTAATTTAATAATTATTTTCACCAACAGAGGGAGCCACAGAGTCTATAAAGAAGAACGGAGCGACAATCTGGGACATTGACACTGCGACTAGCCTGAAGGGCTGCGCGGTTGCAGTGGACAACCACTGCTTTGGCTGCACGTCAGGCATGGGATCAAGCTGCCAGGGATCTCTTGCTTAACGCTACATGGCTGTCATGTGCGCACTGCATCTCAACTACAGGGGCCCTATGTCAGAAATAAAATCAGCCTTAACATTGGTATTAACATTAACTTTTCGTGTAGACCATTGACAAAAACGCAGTAAAGTTATGAGTTTCTCATATGTAGTGTATAGAGGTCCAGTCTTCGAGAAAAATCTATTGTTGCAACTAATGTTAAGACAAATTTTGTTTCTAACAACTGGCCCTAGACTGAGAAATGGATAGCATTGTGATGTAAAGATGAGGATAAGGGAGAGAAGAAATGTGTACTAACAATTACCGGTGAAAGGGAAATTTGGGATATAGGAAAGAAAGACATGTAAAGTTAGAAAACTTGAAAATTTAAAAAAAAGATATATAAGTGCTCAATGTAAGATATACAGGGGGAGGGGAATGTGTGTGTTATATATAAAGGGGCGACAGGAATGTGGGATATATAAGGGAGAGTGGAAGTGTGAATTGTAGAGGGAAGATGGATGTCGGAGATATAACTAGGAGAGGAAATGTGTATTGTAGAGAATAGACAGGAATGTGGGATATATAACAGAGAGAGAGAGAGAGAGAGAGGAAATGTGAATTGTAAGGGGAAGACAGGGATGTGTGCGATATGTCAGAGAGAAAGGAATTGTGAATTGTAGAGAGAAGACAGGAATGTGGAATATATAATGGAGAGAAAAAATGTGTGGGGTCATGTGGCAACGTGGGGTCATCTATTAAGGCTCCTCCTTTAGGTGTCTTATCTTGCCACTCCGGTCTCCATGCTGCGACGATGTTGAAGTCGTTCTTCTCTGAGTTGTAAAATTGTTTGCTTGACTTGAGTCTTGTTACTGGTACTTGTTGGATAATGTTTTTCATGGGGTTATCGTATGCCATGCTCTCTATTCGTGCATGTATTCTCTGGGTAGCTTCCCATCTACAAGGTCTATCCTGGGCGACGACTGAGCCAGTATGATAGCTCCTTTTAACTTTGTTCTTCATTACTGTGGAAGTGTGGACCCCAGAGGCAGTTTAACCTCGCCCTGGTGCCAGGTTTTGTTCACTCTTAGTCTGACTCCTCTTCCTTGGTTGGTTCAGCATGGCTAGACCTTTGCTGACCTCGCCCTTGGAGTCACAGGAGTACGCAAGCCCACACACACAAGCAACGTGGCAATCCAGGTCGTGGGGGTTTAAATACGGGTAATATAAGAGAAATCTTTGATGTATAGTTATAGCAGATGCTTATATTATGTGTAGTATAGGCATTATTATCCTGCATGAGAATTGTTCATGACGTCACAATAAAATAAAACAAGCGGGTAGTTAAGCCGCTTTGTGAACGGCACCATAAATCTGTTATGGTCATATAGTACATGGTACATAAACTCTCTCCTGTTGCCTCCTTTTCCCCTCCCCTGGCTCCTTTTGTTGTAAAGTAAAGTATAGTATAGTATAGTAAAAGTTGTTGTTGTTGTTGTTGTTGTTATTGTTGTTGTTGTTGTTGTTGTTACTGGCTGCTGCTCATTTCTTCATCCTCCACACAACCTATACAAGGCATTCGTGTCTCTTAGGCATATCCATGCTCCTAATCCCCTCCTCGTCCTCATGCTTCTCTCTGAGCCATATACATTCTCCTCATCCTTTGACAACGATGACGATAAGGTTGCGTCTTTTCTTCCCTCTCCTTCAGTGGCGAATCTAGGGGTGTGTCCGGGGGGTCTGGACCCCACTTTAAGTGCCTTAAAAAATTGCTCAGATGCTCTCAAAATGCACCAATTTAAAAAAAATTTATTGCCCCCCTCCCCCCTAAGTGGCGACGTGCCTTCGGCAGAGTTTTAAAACACCAGAAAAATTAAGTAGGAGAAAGTGCCCTTTATTTTTTCGTGGACACCCCCCTTTCAAAAATCCTGGAACCGCCCCGCCTGTCCTTCATCTCCTCCACCTCCCGATACATCTTTGCTGCTAGCGTACACCATATAGTTAGTAGAGCTCATAGGGTCTATGTCCCCCAGGGTACTGCCGGAACGTACCCTGGGTACGGTTCGATATACCGGAACGTACCTTGGGTACGGTTCGATATACCGGAACGTACCCTGGTAGGCTGGTAACTATTTGATATGGTTAGGGTTAGGGAGTAGGCGTAAGCGACTCCCTAGAGTCGTTAGTGGAGTAGGCGAGGGACGGTCCGGCATATTAGATAGTACCAGGTTATACCCCATTCACACCAGGGCCCCGATCTCACTACGCTCGTACTACGCTCTAAGAGCGTGGTGGAAACGTGTAGAACGCAGTATGAACGTATATGGACGTACTGCGATCGCGATCGAGCGCGGTGCAGTCACCATGAGGAACCCATGAGCGTGGAGAGCGTGGCCAAACTTTAAACATGTTCAAAACAATCGTGGTGCGAGCGTGGCGGAAAGACAGCGCAGTGCGGGCGTATTAGAGACGTGGAAGGCGTAGTACCCACGTAACTCGAGCGTAGTACGAACTTAATGATCGTATCGCCAGCGTGTCGGGTGCGTGAAAATTGTCGCCCCGTTCTCAGCACGATGTCAATACGTTTTCATCACGCTGTTACTACGTCCATGGAGATGTCTCTGCGACCTGACCACGCTCTCGCTATGACCATGGTGCGTCTCTAGCAAGCTCGACCCGTTCGTACTACGATTGTAGTATCACTGTACTACGCCCAACACGCTCAGACCACGCCGTTGTGGCGTTCGCATTACGTGTTAGTTACGCTCAGATCACGTCCTGCGAACTTGGGGTATAAATTGGGGTGCTACCCTGGCCACCCCACCATGCAGTGTCCACTATGGATGAGGCAACACTACTCCATGCCATGTTTCTCGTAGAGGAACAACTCGAATTACTTGATTGCCAAGCTGTCATCATGCTGAGGAGGATGAGGAGGAGAAATAGAAGTCTTTTGGCGGCATAGTTGTAGCATACTATTATACTATTATGGGTATAAAATCAGTAGCAAATAATCTTGATGTGAACAGCACGGCAGAACGAATGATGATGTCTAGAACGCGGCGCGGTATTTATATGGTCGTTGCCAGCGCAGTCGGCGCCTGCCTAGAGCGTGGTTAAGTCGCACTAGGAGCGTGACTGGCGCGCAGTTGAGGATCTAAGTGCGTCTTTACCCCGATCTGATTGATCGCAATAAAGACGCAGTGAGCGCAGTGCAAGCGTGATGCGGGCGTGGTGTTGAGCGTGGTGAAAGCTTGTTGAGCGCAATGAGATCGGGGTAAAGACGCACTTAGATCGTATTATCGACGTAATTAGATCGTAGTATCGACGCTGGGCCTGGCTGGGCCCAATTGGCCACGCTCTCAACCAGGCGCGGATGGGGGCACATCCGGCCCGTGCCCCCCTTTTGAAAAAAAAAAAAAATTAATTACATTATTAAAAAAATTACAAAATTACAAAATTACAAAATTACTTTTTCTCAATTTCAATGTTGTAAATAAGGTTACAAGATGAGGTTCCAGTCAGAAATTGTGACGACCCATTTTCATGTTTAACATAACTATTCAAATTTGTCAGTCATTCTTCTGAATTTCCTGCCAAAGAAAACATCTCAGAGTCATTACAAGAATTTGATTTTTACATTGTTAGAGATATATTTCTGGCCTGCAACTGTTATATGTCATACCTGCTTATACTAATACAAACATTCTTTCAAGTTTGAAATATATTCGAGTTATCACAAGATTTGTATTTTGAAATTGCCATATTTTTCTCTAGCCTGCAATAGTTATTTGATATGTGAATGTGCTTCTGTAATACCACATGATCATGTCAGAAATATATAAGGTTTAAAACATTTCAGTGTAATGTAATTTCTCGGTACATTTGACGGTCTTGCCCCCCCCCCCCCCGCCCCATACCGAAAGGCTGGTCACGCCACTGATCAAATTTAACACATAAATGCTTGCTGCAATATGAGTTAAAATACCCTCTACAGTATGCACCAGATTGCACCATTTTAAGCTAAAAAGTGCAAAAGCTCCCTACCCCCAGGGGCGTGTACAGGGGGGAGGGGGGTCCGGACCCCCCCCTGCATGCTCGCGCAGAAAACGCATTTGAGGGGGTCTAATTTCAAAAATTTTTTAGACCCCCCTTCGCGTGCTCGCAAGTATGGGCTACGGTTAGACCCCCCACCCTGGTCCAAATCCTGTACACGCCCCTGCACCCCCTCACTCGCTTCGCTCTCTCGCCGTATCATCCCCCACATTTCACTACATATTGCTCATTTGGTGCCCGCTCTTTTTGAAATTCTTAGATCCGCCCCTGCTCTCCGTCCCTACGCTCACCACGCTCGGGCAAATTTTTGGAGCGTGGGGCGATCGTGATGAGCGTAGCTCTGGTGTGAATGGGCCTTTACGTTCCGGTATACCGGACCGTACCCAGGGTACGTTCCGGCAGTACCCTGGGGGACATAAACCCTCTCAGCGTTAGTAGAGGGAGACTCCCGGCCTCTACTAACTATGCGTGCACGCAAGCGCGCACGTAGGTACACGCGCACACAATATGCATTTTAATCATTCTAAAAACAGGCTATATGACCCGAGCAATACCTGTAATTTTTTAAACAAGCTACAATGACTTCTTTCAGTTTAGATTAAAACAGCCCTTTCGTGCTTCATTTGCGTTCCCAAACGCACCGTCGTGCCCCACTAAGCTATACCGCACGCTCAGCCAGCTGTTATTTCTCTTCGGCGGTTGTCTGTTGGAGTCGTGAAGCTCTCTGTTTGCACATCAGTGTTTATGCAGAATATTGGCTTTACGGAAGTTTTTTTTCGGGTGTATTCCGACCAAACGGCACTATAACACGGCAGCTCATTGTGTCTGTCTTACTGCCCGCGTACCGGTAAGTGAGAAGGCAGTTAATTATTATATTTGCTAAATTACGTCTTGCTGTTCCGCTAATAATTCGGTAGTAGTTTGCGAGTACAGTAAAATGAGTAATTCGATATTGTCATTACGCCCTGACTCGCTTTCCTATTATTTGTTGGCATCATCATAACTCACTGTGTTAGCCTGTGCATAGTTAACCGTGTTTAACTTAAATAAATGCAGTTGAACTTGAAACTAGCTATTATATGTAATGCCAGAAATGCAATAAAATGTACATTATTTATACGTATATATATAGTTGCTAGGTTCTTCTCTTGTATAACTTTAGCTGACTTTCTTTCTCTCTTTGTTCATATAGTTATATACCCTTTTACCAATTACAATTAATTTACCAACCGGTTCGTAGAGAAAACTATATCTGAAGAGAATTAACCCGACCTAGCTCTCACAACCGTCGACTATAGCTGTTATACTGCCTACTGGTCTGGATTCAAGTCTTGTCTTATAACTTGTCATTTAGCTATATAGTCGTGTATATCTTAATTGTTGTGTCTTGTATCTATAGCCTTCTCGTTGTCGCTATAGCCTATAGTATAGTATAGTATAGGCTTTATCCATTTTTTTCAGCCGACACCAGCCGTATGTAATAACTTTATATAAAAGTGCATTGTCTGGAGGTGTCAAATCAATACAAGGAGAAGCAGATCCAGGATCTGGGAAAAGGCTAGTTTCGTGAACGTGAGGCATATCGAGGTGGACAAGTATCGAGAAACTATCATGTTCTTTTTGAGAAAATTGGGTGCAATTCTAATTCGAGACAAGTAAAGTCGATGTGCCTGTCTACGAGAAAGTGAATATTACACTAGTGGCGTACGTAGCCATGCAGGATTTGTTAACAGGGGGGGGGGGGCAAAAACAGCTAGCAAACTGCGCAAAATAGTGAATGACTTAATATGAGTAGCGGCTGGGCAAAAAAGATCGGTACGGGTCCCTGGCAGCCACTATGACAACTCCGTGACGCTTCAGACAAGCATGCCACCTTCTGCAGCACTGCAGCTGCCTCAAGTCATCGCACACGAGGTGGCAAGTAGCAATCGTGGCCGCGTGTCAGTCACAGTGCCACGATGCTCGCAAATGCCGAGAGCGCGATGTAGCACACGTTGACAGCAACGACTGGAGTGTAGACTTAATGCTAAAATGTTATGGACAGTTCCATACATATATCGCAAGAGCCACTGTTGTGCCCAGTCGAACTTACTGACCGGGGGGGGCGGGCCGTCAACTACGTATATGCCGGTATTACCCCATGTGCGTTTCTCACCTAAAAGATAATAGGCCCCTAGCTGCGAACCTGCCCACATTGAAAAACCCTACCCCATATTGCACACACAATTGAAGAATACCACTCCTATGCATACAACAAAGATAAGAGTCCTACCCGGCACCCCAACCCCCTATTGCGACGGTCTTGCAGATCAATGTGTAAGGCAAAGATGGAGAATAGAGTGGCGGCCCGTGAGGGGGTCCTTACTGCGGGCGCGGTACTTATGACTTGAACGATCGCGCAGGGCTTATTGCGGGATTATGCTATTGTAAAGCGGGGCCTATTTCGCTCCCGCGCGGGCCGCGCTTTAGAGCTTGCAAAAAACACCCCCTAACCGCCCAAAATTTGGAAACGCACATGGGGTAAACCGGCACTATATAGTCGACCCCCCCCCCCGCGGGCTTACCTGAATTATATAACTGGACACAAAGCCATGACAATTAATCACTTCTAACCAAAGATTCCATATCGGAAAGCCTACCTATGCTTTGTATTTGTCTCTTTATCCACAAATTCTGAACTTGTAACTATGTTAACCTAACATTACATGTAGAATGATGACCAATATGGAAAGACAAATCAAGGCCAATCACTTATAATTTTTTGAAGCCATGTCCACATTGTCCACCTGTTGAGCTTCGTAGTAAATTAAAATTTTACAGAATATTTGCTTACTTAATCTTTCTTTTTAATCTT